AGTTTTAGCGCGGAGAAACCTTGGGTGCTAATATACTAATTGGCCTGTGTGTCCAAAGTTACCCAGAATATGTATTTACTCCCTTTAATACTTGTTTTTTGGGCCATGCACATTTCTAATAGTGTAGCAATGTTTAACTCTCCCCCTCCCCCCGCACCCAAAAATCAGCATCACGAAGTATGGTGAGAATGGAACAACTAAAAACTTACTTTGTTATCTGACTTTGTATGTATACTATTAGCTTCTGAAGGACAGAGACTGGTTCTTATTAATTGTCTTGTCTTATCCCTGGTGCCAAGTACAATGCCTAACACATAGTAGGTATTTGATAAATATTTGTTGAATGAATGTCAAATGCAAACTTTTTATACAAAGACTATATATAACAAGGTATATATTGAACTTAGCACTGCATTATTTAGTTTAATTTACATTTCATTGCTTTCTCGATACCATAAGGCCATTCTGTAGAGTACCAAATTTTAAGCTAGTCACTTGCCAAAGGGTCACTAAGAAAAACTATGCAGAAATGAGAAATGGTGCTTCTAGTTCAGTGCTGCCCAGTCTTGTTTCCTAAAATATATAAGTCAGCATTCCCTGAAAAAGAGTAAGGCAAATTTTAAAGATAGAAATCAGAAAAAATTGACTTTAACCACATTGAAAGTATGAAGGGAATGATTTCCTTAAAAATCATAATGAAAGACCATGCCCACAATTCCTCTTTAAAAAATCATTATATATATATTTATTTTATATATTACATATTATATAATCATTTTATCATTACCTCTCTTTTTTTTTTTTTTTAAGATTTTTTAATTTATTTATTTGTCAGAGAGAGAGAGAGAACACAACAGGCAGAGGGAGAAGCAGGTTTCCCTCTGAGCAAGGACCCCAATGTGGGACTCGATCCCAGGACCCTGGGATCATGACCCGGGCCGAAGGCAGATGCTCAACCAACTGAGCCACCCAGGTGTCCCTACTTCTCTTTTTTCTAATAGATACTTCCATTTTCTTCAAAGAAGAGGAATATTCTTGGTCAATTGGTTAGAACTTTGATATGTTCATTAGGGAAGAGTTTGTCCCAAAACTATAGGACTAGATCTGATCTTGTACTCACATTAAAGTCATCAATACTCTCTGTTTGGGGTATTTATCTCTTTTCTGTTGACCCTGTGAAATTGCTCCTGAAAGCTGAATGATAACTAGAATGGCAGTTAATTACTTATTTAAAGTCTCTAGGAGGGTTTTATGATTTACTCTGAAACATGGGTCAATTTAAAGTATACAGGGACATTATTTTCAAATCATTCAACTGCCTGATTTTGAAAAATCAGTTGTGCTTGGTGTGGCACTGCCCAGAAGTTGATGCAGTTTGAGAAAGCTGAGCAAAGGGGAAGGAAGGGTCCTATGGTAGGTAGCCTATGATGCTTGGGTGAGGTTTCAGTCAGTGAACTTAAAAAAAAAAAAGCACTACCCCCAAACTGAGAGAACCCAAAGCATTATTTGTAAATTACTTGCCCATTTCTAGCATTGATGTACATTCCCAGAAGCACAATGTGCACATCAAGCATTCAGTATTAATAAGTACAATTACATCAATATATAATCCATTATAATTATACAATTATATCAATATATCAATAATAATGAAGTGACAATCATGGAACACTACGTCAAAAACTAATGATGTAATGTATGGTGACTAACATAACATAATAAAAAAACAAGTGTTTAAAAAAAATAATGAAGTGCAGAGTATCATGGGAATGTTTTGATAAATCGCTGCTTTTCACATGAGTCAGGATAAGCATTTTGGACATTGGTTAATGTTTCCAAAAGTATAATGTTAGAAGTCAATGTCTTTTTGAAAGGACTGGCTCCCTGGACCATGACTCTTCCATTCGCCATTCTATCGTCTTTCTCCCTTTTCAGCCAGCTTGACTGAACTGATCACTAGAGCTTCATTCTCCCCAGATGCTCACTAGAAACAATTTGATAATTTGACATTTCTGGAAGGAGTGCGTGATTTTCATTCCATAAAAGCTACACATAATTGAGGTGAAAGGATGGGGAGGAAGAAGAAGAGCCAGTAACATTAGCACAAGGACTTTCCCCTGAGCCGTGAGAGCTGATCTGCTCGCCTGCCCCGCCTCCTGGCACCAATGTCAGGGTCTCAGGCTGGGCAGTTTCCTGGTGAAGACTGTGGTTGGAGCAACCAGAGAACCCTGGAGGCCTCAAATGTCTGATGGCGTTTCTGGCGTAGTCGCCTCTAGCAGACCCCGCTCCAAAATTTAAACCTTTAATGCCAAACCAACCTATTTCTCCATATAGATCCTGAAAAACGGACCATACCTCAAACATAGGTTTGCATTTGAGAGGTAAACCATGACTTGTCAGTCACATACCTTAAATAGACATGTAACTCTGAAGGCCAATTCAAGCTAAATGCGAGCCTATACAGATGCTCTAATCTCCTGACAGTGGTGGAATAACCCCCCTTCACAATCTCTGAACATTTAGGAGTCATGGTTCACTACAGAGTTTACAAAGCTAATTTTGAGAGACACTCTAGCATATTTACAGAATACATGAAATTTTTCATCAATGTAGTTATGAAAGTATTTCTCTGAAATAACTTAGGAGTCATGAGTCATGTTTCTAAGCCAACCAAATCACTACTTTGCACCGAGAAGTTGACTTTAAAAATACGAAATCATATGTAATAATTAAACAAATGGAAATCCTACAACCTGAAAAATTCAGAATTATGGACTTTTTAAAACTGCATTTTAGATTTATTTTCTTGTCATTCAGATGTCTCATCCTGTTTCCATATCTGGCACTTCAACAAATGCAGTGATGCCCCCAAATTCATTCATGCGATAGGTGAATCTCTAAAGTGAACAATTGTCTTCTGTCACTTTTGGATTTGTTTAAATCTCTTTCCCCATCTTTCTACGGTGCATGAATTCTACATTTCTAATTCCTGAAAAGCAGTTAGCACAGTTTTAAGCCATGCTGCTCTCCAACTCAAATTGTATTTCAGATGATTTGATTAAAAACTACAAAAGAACTACTTTCAGCAAAAGCTTCTTATAGTGGAACACAAATATTTGTGAAGTGGGCATAAAGTGCTTACCCTGCACTCACAGCTTTAAAGTGAAATACACTCGGAAGAGGAATTAATCACAAACTAAATCCCACCCCTCGGCTTTTTTTATCCATCTGTCAAAGCGGTTTAAATGTGCTTTTCTACAATCAGTCCTTAGTTATGCATCCCAGCTTTCAATGTCTCCTAAGAAGAGATATTTGTTTAATGAAAACACTAAAAAACAGCAATATCCAATCAATATTAAAATCATTGTAAGATAAGCTGAAAAATAGAGGCTCATTTTCATTAATCATAGTCATTAGATCCTAGATCCATACCCTTCAATGAGATCATTTTCATTGAAATTCGTACTAAGCATATTGTGACATGCAGATGAAGAGGTTGACTTTTTTGACACTTGAATAATGTTTTGGTAGTGCTGGGATATTTGCATCCACTTTAGTATTTACACGCTCTTAAAGTTTGGATGTCTCCACTTTGGATGGCATATATCTGAAGCAGTTTTTCTCTAGTCCAAGAGCTAAATCAAGCAAAGTTGACTTTAAGTGAGCTTTTATGCCTAAAACGTTAAACTCTTCAATCCATGTAGAATCCAAACCACACACAGCTCTTTGCTTTGGTAGTAACACAAGCTCTTCTGTGGGAGAAGAGCATGAGGGTGCTTCCATTACTGAGCATGACCTTGTGAAGAAGTCGCAGTGTTGGAGATCGTTTCCCTCCTGTAAGACTCCTAAGGGGTCACTTCCAGCTGTTCGCCACAGGAGACGTGGTGTGTGATGCAATCACGTGGGTAAAGGTGATGTACTCGCAGGAGTTGCTTCATACAGTTTCCATGTCACATTTTTCACCAGTTTGAATAACTCCTCAGACTACAGAGAAAGCGCTCACTAGCTTACTAGACTTTGAACTTTAAAACTCTGATCTAGATAATTTCAGATACTTTAATTTCATTATAGAAATCCCTAGACTACTTGTGGGATAAAACAAATGTTCAGACCATATTGAGTTTCATCAAGCTGAATTAGCAGAAAATAAAGATAAAATGCCTTTCTATTTAAGAACATGATGATGTTTTAATTGTTACAGCATTTGGCATGCCTAACATATACAATTCTTGACATTCATATAATAACAAAGAAAGTTGTTTAGGATCTTTCTTTTATTTCCTAGTATTCCCTTTCCTCTCTAGTATTTCTCCCACCCCCATGCCAGCCCTGGTTTTTAGCTCTCCTCCCATTTCTCCATCCGTCTATAAAGAAAAGCTCTATGCTGTGAAAGATACATGTAAAAATACCTCATTCCTATGCAGATAGGCCAAGGCTGCTTATTACCTAGTTATGATGAACAGACCACCATCGTTGTGACAACTGATGTAGATGCCTCCAGGGTAAAACAAAGGTTTACATATTACACAAGCAATTTAACTGTTTTCTAAACATATTGCCAAGACAGTGGGAGTTGGCAGCCCACACTGTGTTTTAGGTTTGGGAGACTTGGATTAGAAGTGACTGCTGATTATGAACCTTTTTATTTGTCTTCTATGAACTACAAGCAACCTAGTAACCCGGCAAAGAATTCTTCGTAGCACTTAAACTTGTCTTCCTAGCTTCCCGAGATTGCATACACAAATCACTTGACAAAAGTGGTGTAAGGGTCTTGTGCATAGATAACCACACAAGACAATTGTCTTGTTCTAACCCTTAAAGAGTTCTGCAAAGTGAAATGTTTTATAATCCTTTTTTGTGCAGTAGGCAAGGAAGAAAAGAAAAGAGTTTGGGCAAAGATTATCCAGAAGAAAGAGAGAGACTCTTTTGGGGTTCCAGTTGAAACACAATAAAGAACATAATTAACTTCACAATTCTTTGTGTTTTTCATTTGACTGCAGGGAGGAGATGAAAGAGGTCTGCTAAGCCTTGCATTCCATCCCAATTACAAGAAAAATGGAAAGCTCTATGTGTCTTATACCACCAACCAAGAACGGTGGGCTATCGGGCCTCATGACCACATTCTTCGAGTTGTGGAATACACAGTATCCAGGTATCACTAAAATGCCCTGAGGCATAAATATTTTTCAGTCTTATTTTCTCATTATCTCTTCCTAGTTATTTTAGAGGTTAAGGTGACAGCAATTAAACCACAATCTCCATCTTGCTGAAAACCACATATGTGTCCTTAAGGAGAACTGAGAGAAATGGTAGCTTTGGCACTTTTCCTCAATTCTCTTTCAGCTTATATGCCTCTTCTGAAACATAGAAAATAATGTCACCTATCGGGAATTTTTATTAGATCCATTTTAAGCATATGTTTCCTTATTTACACACTAAGTGTCTCTCCCCTGTTTGTGTACAGTTTACTTTCTGGTGGGTTCACCTTACATCTTTAACAATTATGATATTGCTTCCTCCCCACGATGTAGAAAAAATCCCCATCAAGTTGATTTGAGAACAGCCAGAGTATTTCTTGAAGTCGCAGAACTCCACCGAAAGCATCTAGGAGGGCAACTACTCTTTGGTCCCGAGGGCTTTTTATACGTCATTCTTGGTGACGGGATGATCACACTGGATGATATGGAAGAAATGGATGGTTTAAGGTAAAAAAAAAAAGAGAGAGAGAGAGAGAGAGAGAAAGGGGAAAAAAAGCTCCCCTTGATGTTAAAATGTTTTAAGTGACAGCCAGCCCCGGGGGGGGGGGGGGGGGGGAAGGGGGGGGAGATGTCAGAGCCAGTGAGTTAAGAATTGTCTTTGGGGAAAAAAAAAGAACTGTCTTTGACTTATGTCGCCTTGGTTAAATATTTAACTTTTATAAGATGAAGAGGAATTCAGCCATACGCTGATGGTATTTTTGGAAGTCGCAGTGCCCAGATGTTCTAAAGTGCATTCGTGCCGCGTGGGTCGCGGGATACACAGGCTGGGAGAGGCACAGCTCCCTCCGCAGGCTCTGGGCGGCAGCTCGAGTGCGTGCGTCCGAGCGCGGCACACTGCAGGCTAGACTCAGAGTCCGCGGCGCTTCTGCGGGCGCATAAAGCGCCCGGACTGGCAAAACATACACAGCAGTTGCAAAATGTGGCACGCCCTTGATGCTGCCGTCCTCGGCCACCCTTGAGCTGCGTCGCGGTGCTGCCGCTTGTCTGAAGCCAACCTGCCCCTGGCTGCATTTCCCACGATTCGGAATTTGTAACTTTAAATAATTTTGTCTCAAATGAGGGGATGATTCTTTGGACTGTAGGGCAAGCGCCCTACATTTGGTTTAGGCGAAATACTTAACAAAAGCAGAAACACTGAACCTTGTCCTCAACTTTCTCAGTGATTTCACAGGTTCGGTGCTCCGGCTGGATGTGGACACGGATATGTGCAACGTGCCTTATTCCATACCACGGAGCAACCCGCACTTCAACAGCACCAACCAGCCCCCGGAAGTGTTTGCACACGGCCTGCATGATCCAGGCAGGTGAGAACACGATCTGTCCTCTTGCCTCTGCTGTAAAGCCAGGCCGGGATTCGGGAACTGGGAAAAGAAAGAGGGGTCGAGGCACAGAGGTCGCTCCAAGGTCGCGCCTCCAGAATCACACCAGCTCATTATCTGAGCACTCTTTCTTCTATTAATGTGTGAAGCAGATTGAGAAGGCAGATTCGACATATGGAAAAGGACAAATTCATGGAGAAAAATTGCCTTAAGATTCTGGAGTGTTATTAGATAATCGCCTTTGGACAGGTGTAATGATTAAGACTTCAGTTGTTCAAATTTAGAGAGATAATTAACCTTTTAGATTTTCTCCTTAAACCCCCCCAAATGAAATTTTCCATACACATTTATTTTTTTATTTTCATTTTTTTTAAGATTTATTTATTTGAGAGAGAGAGGAGAGGAGGGGCTGAGGGTGAGGGAGAGTCTTCAGCAGATTTTGCACTGAGCAGCCAGCCCCACAAAGGGCTCTATCTCACGACCCTGAGATCACCGCACTGAGATCATGACCTGATCCGGAACCAAGAGGTGCCCCATTTCCATACACATTAAATGGGGGTGGTAATAACTACCTTGCAAGGAGGCTATAATGATTTACTACAAATCTAGATTAAAGTACAAAGTAGAGTGCCTGACATACATGGTGGGTTTTAAATAAATTATAGTTCTTATCATAACTTTACTTAACATATGATGATGCAGTATCAGTTCGTAAGGAGTTGAGCTCAATGTTAACGTTTTTTCACTTGAAAAAAAATTATAAATACTAAAGGAATTCATACTGATGGTTTACTATAATAACTATAAAGAAAGTAGTACTAAGATGTACGTACAGTGAGAAATTTGGGGTACACTTAAAAAATGCTATGAAGTATAATATAACAATTCTATGATGAAAGCTTCATCCAATCTGTGGTCTCTTGTTCATACTACGGGATATTTGGCCACATTCATTCATTTACTAGCTAAGTTATTATTGCTATTTAATGTTTATTGAGTGTTCACTATGTGCAAGGTGAGTATTTCTCGAACTTTTTATTTTTATAATCCCTCATGCCCTTCATCTCCGCTCCATCAAAGTCCAAGTCTACAGTTCATTTCCTTTTTGGCATCTCAGCAGATCTTAAAATCTGTGCGACAGGGAATACTTAAGGTGGGTTCAGGATGTGGAGGAAACTGTCACATTCCATTCCTATAGCTCAGAACTCGCAGATACCACCGCAAAGAGCACTTTGAAGTCGAGCAGCCTGAGTCACCACAGTCTCACTGGAGCTTTCGTGCAACCTTTCCGGGGGTCCTGGACCCTCGGTGCAAAAACACAGGGTGAGGCGCTTTTCAGACCTTGCATATGGCAGGATGTCTGTGCCATGGTGTCTTACCTCCTCTGGCAGCAGCGGGCTAGAGGGAAGTCGTGCCTCCCTCCAAGAGTATTTCAAGCAGAGAAAGATTTAATAAAGCAGAAAGGAAACTAAAACAATTATTGGCTAGAAGTAAAGCTGGATTGTATTAAGCACCTTGGTGCAGAGTACTGAGCTAAGTATCTAACGCACATTATCTTATTTATGCCTCTCAGCAGTACTCAGTGGTAGCTGGCATTGAGCAGAAGGCATAGATATTTCCCATAAACCCCCTGACCCCCATACAGGCATAGCCTCCCCATTAGCAACATCCCCCACCAGAGTGGGACATTGTTACAATGGATGAACCAACACTGACACATCATTATCAGCCAAAGTCCAGAGTTTCCATTAGGGTTCACTGGGGGTTGTACATTCTGTGGATTTGGACAGATATATAATAACATGGACCCACCATAGGGTATCATACAGAGAAGTTTCACTGTCCGACCTCTTTTTTTCCAAGTAACTAAAGGTTAGAGGGGTCAAGTGGTTCTCAGTGGCCACGGTATTCAGCCAGAGCTAGGCCTGATGGCCATCTCCACCTTTGGGAGACCTGGGCTTTCCTTCCAGATTTGTTCTTTTCTTAATAGAAAGAGATCAAACCTTCTTTTGTCATAGTTTCTCCATCTTTAAAAGGAAGACAATACAGGAAAAATGTCTCCTCCTGTATGGATTTAGTTCCACTTTAAGTCACATCATGTCTGTGTCCTGTTCCCTGCCAGGCATTGTACTCTGTGAATCATTGAATTAAAGAGGACAATAAAGGGACTGTTGCCACAGAACAACTAACTCATCTTTGACAGGTCAGGCTTATAGTTTCCCTATTATGAATGGGATCATTTGGATGCAACAATTTTTGTTTTGTAGTTGCTGTTACTGTTGAGATGATTGCTACATATGACTCTTAACGTCTCTTAAGACCCAGAACTTACTCTCAGGTTGTTTTGTTTTCTAGTTTATTTAATAGTCCCAATGGTTTGGTTCGGTTGTCAAGTCATTAATGTATTTTGTTGACCTAAAACAGTGATTGCCAGTGGGATGATTTTGCCTCCAGCAAACATTTGGCAATGTCTAGGAACATTTTTGGAGGGGTTCCTGCTACTGACATCTAGTGGCTGGAGGCCAGAGATGCTGCTAAACATCCTACATGCTCAGTACAGAACCTTCCCTCTCCCCCATCTTCCAGTCCCCTGCTCAAAGAATTATCTGGCTCAAAATGTCAATACTACCAAAGTTGAGAAACCCGAAAACAATGCAACACTGTTTTCCACATTTGTGAGAACTTCAAAAATTATATTATACAGCTTCATTCTTACCCCAACCCAAACTCCACATGCCCAATTCCTCATGGACTTAAACATTCAACAAATATTGAACCCCTTTTATATCCCTGGGTTTGAATTAGGTAACAGGAATACAGTGATAAAGAAGCTGGAAGTGGTCCCTGTGCTCATAGAATTTACAGTCAATGGCTTAAGTCATGGAAATATTCTAGTTCCAGACTGAGGGTGACACGAAGACACAGTTAATATAAAAGACTTCAGTGTTGTGGGACCAGCTTTATTTGATTCCCTATATTGTAGCGTACACTTTCTTTCCTTTGTTAGAGCAGCTTGAGCTTTAGAATATAGCGATCCCATGTAAAAAACACAAAAGTAATACCAAAACTAATTCTATTTTGTGTGTTGCAGATGTGAGTTGATGAGCGCTGGCTCTCATACCTTATCAGTGTATTATATATGTGGCAGTCCTTAATAACACACTAACAAATGTTTTAAGTCACTGTGCACATTCATACTAGAGAGAGATACCAAGAGAAATTAGGAATATTCTCCAGAGGTCATTTAGCTTCAGCGGAGTGAACAAACAAATCTGAATGTTTTTGTTGAGGATCCAAACGAAATAGCCCACAGGGTCCTTGCCAGCCCACAAAGGGTTCCCATGTCAGGAATCTCCAGTCTGAGTTTAGAAAAGACACGGTAAGAATTCATGGATGTCCTCCTTTTGTTATGCAGATGTGCTGTGGACCGACATCCCACCGATATAAACATCAATTTAACAATACTTTGTTCGGACTCCAATGGAAAGAACAGATCATCAGCCAGAATCCTACAGATAATAAAGGGGAAAGATTATGGTAAGTAGAGCATAATTTGTTGATTTGGCTTTAGTTTGGGCCTTGTTTTATTTTAATATATTAATTGAAGAGAAAAGGATTTCTACAAAATGAGCATTTGGGAAAGCATAAAAACATTGACCTAACAGTGGTAAGGGAGTAACTTGCACGAGTTTTTAAAGGTCCAGTGACACTCACAAGCCCCAGGAATTCCATTTGGGTAATTACCTTTCCATGGATTGAAGTGTGCTCTGTAGATCCCAAAATTTAACGGACCTTCAAAAATTAGCTGTTTAGATTTTGCTCATCTGAGAGTCAAAATGAATAACTTCTATTTATTTAATATATAAGGGAGAACTTGTCTTAACATCTTATATACAGCAGAAAAAACAAGTTAAAGGTAAGAAATTGCTGAAACTAGCACACCCAATATGCTAGTCTCAGCAATTAGAAAAATAATGTGTTTCAAATAAGAATGTAATTTTTTTAAGTGTCTATTTTAGAGAAAACAACGTAATAGACTTGTAAAAACATGTTATTTACCCAAGTCATGAAAACGGGATGTTTAGACATTATTTTTAATAACATGATTACAAGAGTGTTTTAGAGATGCATATACAAAATAAAGTTGGGTAATAATGAAGGCCAAAAAACTCAGTATTTTTTAGTGTTTGAGTATTTACTCCTTTTGGAGGAAGCAATATATCAAAATTATTACGATTCAGGGAACACAGTAGATTAAGATTATTAAATTGATTGCTCCTTCTATTTACTCATTCAATACAGATATTTATTTAGCACCAGGAATGAAGCAGCTGTGTTAGTTCATGTGGTATTCAGTTATTTTACTTTATTTTTTTTTCAGGTATTCCTGTGTTGTGTGTGTGTGTGCGCGTGTGCGTGCGCATATCTTATAAAAACCAAACCAAAGAATGATATGTTTTGAAAAAAAAAATCTTATGAGACACTGGTTTGATGGAATTTGGCTATATTTATGCAGATTAAACTAAATTCTCCAATCACATTAATTGGGGTTCTGCTGAAACTGGATACAATATCCGTAGCCTTGCATTTATGTTTTCAAAACCCATCCACAGAGTCCTCTAACAGCATATACATATATCAAATCACCACGATGTACACCTTAAATATTTTACAACTTTATTTGTCATTTTTACTTCAATAAAGAAGAAAACAAAAATAAAAACCAAATAACCACATCCACAGTACTTACTACATGCCCACCCCTGAAGTAACTTTATAAACTTGACTCCTTTCATTAGAGGAAGAACTCTGTGTGATAGGCACTATTATTGGCCACATTGTACCGATGAGGAAGGAAACTGAGACACAGAAAGGTTAATTAACCTACAACATAGAGTGGCAAGGCCTGGACTTGAACCCAGGTCGACTGATTCCAGAGTTCATGACCTTAATCATTCAGTTATGCTGCCTTTCAGTGAACTAGTTAAAACTTAATCTTTTCTACTTTTTATAATATAGTCACCATAACCACATGGCAAGGGAGAATTACTTTAAAATTACCATCTTCCCACAAAAGCTTTTGCCTAAAATATTGCCTGTTGATAATGACTTATTTGACATTAAGCACATAATAAGTAATTTTCAGATTAATTTACAACTGGCTTTAGATCTTTTCCATTGCAATTAGCGTATGCATAGTCAAGTATATAATGACATGCATGCAAAGACTGAGATATGTAACTATACACATGTACTTAAAAAGAACGGCGGCAATAGACATTGTTAACCATACAACTCTATAAACAAAACTATTAAAATAGTTTAAATGAAGATATCACTTGAGTGACAATGTCTTTAAATATACAAATGTGGTTTTAAAGATCTTTTATGTACTATACTTTTATTTTCATTAAAATATGAATTTTCAAACATTTTATATAACTTGACAGATGTCTGGCTTAATTTACTGAGTATATGCAGAAGCATTTCTACAAAAAAAATTCAATTTTAAAACAATTGTTATTTTTTAAAGTCTTTTGGTTCTTAAGTAAATAACCATGATTTCCAAAATATCCAGATTCTAATTTCATCGAAAATTTGGTATGGGTGGCTATTCTAGCAGCAAACATTTGTAGAGCATTCCCATTTCAGTAAGCTGCACATGGAAGCTCTTTATATTTTATACTATTTAAGCAAAGGAACTTAATTATTTTTACTAAATATCTAGAACAGGATTCATCTTGTGTATCATGGGACACATTTCAAATTTAGCCTAAATTACCATAATTATATTACTTGATCTCCATTACTTTTATTTCATAAAAATGTTTCATTTGATCTAATGTTATGTTTATTTCTTTCCAGAAAGTGAGCCATCACTTTTAGAATTCAAGCCATTCAGTAATGGTCCTTTGGTTGGTGGATTTGTTTACCGAGGCTGCCAGTCTGAAAGACTGTATGGAAGCTATGTGTTTGGAGACCGCAATGGGTAGGTTTCCTGATACCACAATTTGATGTATCAAATGACATATCCATTGATTAGTGGGCAAACTGTCATAAAATAGTCAAATGATTGTTTCTCTTTTGGGGGTTAGGTCTGGGACACACATAAACATCATTATTTCCTTTTTGTTTCATTATGTATGGTGGTTTAATTAAAGAACTTCCTAAGAGATGCTTTTTAAACAAATTTGATTAAGTTCATAAAGTAATTTTTAAGAGCAGAGAAGTCTTCAGATGGACTTTTCATATTATGTAGGCTTTTCCCTTCATCCTAACATAAATTTATCATGACAATGAGTAATTTGAAAACTATTGTTATACATGACTTGTGTAAATATTTTCCAAATTATTTGGAAATTAGAAGGCTAAGGATTTTTGTTTTTGCCAGACTTTCAGAACTTTTAGCAACAGAATTTAATTAGTCTCTATCAGTAAGAATACTACACAATTAAATTTTAGCCTCCTTTTTAGAGGTCACTGTGTGGATAATTCTCAGGAACTCTTAGTGATGAAACCCACATTATGAATCTTGTTTCCCAAGTCACTGGCATTCAGGCATATGGCAGAACTGCTATGCTTGGTCGCTAAAAGGAACTAGAAAAGTTTACTGACCCCATGATCTTCCCCCTGTCCCTCTCTCTGATTAATAGCACAGCATGGAGTCTAGTCCTGGAGAGGAAGTATCAGTCTCTGGATGAAGGGGAGGGCTTTTCTCATACTCAGGTACTTTTAGTGCCCCCCTCCAAACAAAATACTATCTTTAAGTACTTTCTCCCCACATGAGAATTTCACAGTATTCGCACACATTATGGGCTATATTATTTTTCCTTTTAGAAGCCAGGTTTATGGCACAACTATTCATTGTGACCTTAATTCTAAGCATTTTATTGTGGTTGTTTTGTTTGTTTTTTTAAACAAAAGCATATTTTCATTGTAAGTTTACGGTATATTTTTGTTGTAGGAATTTCTTAACCCTCCAGCAAAGTCCTGTGAGCAAGCAATGGCAAGAAAAACCACTCTGTCTCGGCAACAGTGGTTCCTGTAGAGGTTACTTTTCAGGTCACATACTGGGATTTGGAGAAGATGAATTAGGTACTGTACAAACTATTTCTATGAAGTTCCATTCTCACTCCCTAGCCCAAGAGGCTTTGTTTTGCTCTGAAGAATAAGTGTAACAGTCTTGCCCTCCATTTGCTGGCAATGTAACCCGCAGCAAGGGTGACCTACCGTGGAGATTAGAGATGGCCCAGCTATGTATTCTCTCCCAATGACCTTCCTCTGGGGGGTCTTCACATCTTATTTCCACTCCAAAAATATAAAAGTAACAAAGCAGGAAAATGGAAGGCAAGAACAGAAGAGAATTTTTGAGTCCTAAAGAGAAGAAAATCGTAAATGTCTACTGATACTTTAGATAAATCTGAGTCATTTGTTTCTATTCTCTATCTGAAAGCCTTTCCACTTATCTGTGTCTCCTTAAATAAAGAAAAAATCTGTTGTAATCTCAGTCTCACCTTATCCTCTATTTCTGAATTTTTAATTTTATTTTATTTTGTGCATTGGGGCATGCAGTTTGTACATGATAAGCTGAATTTGTAGATCTGCTTTCGAACAGAATAAAAATTATCTTCTGGATGATGATCTAAGGGATAACATAAAATATATTTGTTGGTATGTTATCAAAATGTGCACAGCTTACAAGCAAAAAGAAGTTGAAATTAGAATGCCATGAAAGAGTGAAAATGCTCCAAATTTTAAATTATAGAGATAAATGTAGCTTTCATAATGACTCTATTTAAAGAACAGCATCCAAACAAACCATGGCTGTTATGCTTCTTTAGCCTCAGAAAAAAATTTTAGGTCTTAAGAAAGAAGAGTTGTGTTACCCATCTAAATCAGAATATTTTCTTTCTTTTTTTAATTTTATTTATTTATTTGTCAGAGAGAGCACAAGCAGGGGGAGCGGCCGGCAGAGGAGAAGCAAGCTCCCTGCCAACACAGGGCTCCATCCCAGGACCCTGGGATCATGACTTGAGCTGAAGGCAGACACTTAACCAACTGAGCCACCTAGGTGTCCCTAAATCAAAATATTTTCCCTAGAAGTCCAGCTTTGGTTTTATTACATCAGATGCAGAACTCACCAGGAATAGTTCCATGCCATTCACTTAGGTTAACAGGGACTTGACATGCATTTCAGAACTACAGGAATATAATGATTTAAAGAAGAGACCTCCAATCCCTTCTTTTCTTATTACAGAATTGAAAACATTTACAATTAATTTACCCTCGATATCTCCTAGCTCACTCAAAAGAACCAAAGAGATAACTCTTTCTCACTGAAATCCTCTGTTATGTAATTTAAATTTCATTGGCAAACTCTGGTTTTAAAATATAAATGAGGATTAAATTGTTTGTGGCAGAGTTAGAGATGAATATTTCGATGTTGTGACTGAATCATTCTGATTTCCCCAGACCTTACTGCAAATGACTCACCATCAATCATCCTGTTAGTGTCACCACCGCTGGTTAAAATACTCAAACATCTATCTGCACTTAATACTATGTTGGGAGCAGAACTAACAAATGAAGCATATACAATCCTTAGTGTCCAAAAGCTATAACATCGTGTATATTTATAATTAAGATTAAACATGCCTTGGGGCACCTGGGTGGCTCAGTCATTAGGCCTCTGCCTTAGGCTCAGGTCATGATCCCAGGGTCCTGGGATCGAGCCCCGCATCCGGGTCCCTGCTCCGCAGGAAGCCTGCTTCTCCCTCTCCCACTCCCCCTGCTTGTGTTCCCTCTCTCGCTGTGTCTGTCAAATAAAAAAATAAAATCTTAAAAAAAAAATTAAACATGCCTTCATTGAATTATGCTTTAATGTGAAACTCTTTGGCTTTAATTAGGAGCCACATGGGGGTGCCTGGCTAGCTTGGTTGGTAGAGCATCCAACTTTTGATCTCGGGGTTGTGAGTTTGAGCCCTATGTGGGGTATAGGGATTACTTTTTAAAAAAAGCGGGTGCCTGGCTGGCTCAGTGGGGGGAGTGTGCTACTCTTGATCTTGGGGTTGTGGGTTCAAGCCCCATGTTGGGTGTAGAGATTGCTTAAATAGATAAAACTTAAAAATTTTTAAAGAAGATTAAAAAAACTAAAGAGCCATAAGAAAATGAGTAGGTTTTTGCATTTTTTGAAACAAAAAGTATTGAGAGTCTGTTTTTTCTATGTGTGTGTTTTTTTGTTGTTGTTTTTTTTTGTTTTTTTAGCTATAAACCAGGAGGTTAGTTGTAAGAATTAAGTGAAATAAATAGTATAAAGTACTTGACAAAATAAATATTAATTGTTCTTTGTTTACATTCCTTTGCTTCCTAACTTCATTTTTATTTTTTCTGTTGTGTCTGCATTTTTAGTATAAACCCATAACATCCTTTCCAGAAGTAAGAAAGTAGTAGAATGTGCTAAAAAAAAAAAAACACAATAGAGTGGAATAGAGAAATAGAGATTAATCAAGGACTATTTCATGAATGAGAACCAAATATGAATTTTAAAGCCCTATAAGCATATCATCATAAATACAGCTTATAATTCCCTATTCATGTGATCCATTATATGGAAGTAGTTGTACTAAACAAGAGTGGTTCTCTCCTCTGTTGTGTTTCATCACTGATAACACAGCCCAACACCAAGAATTAAAGAGGTAGAGTTGGGATGAACATCAGGTCTCTCTTTTCCCAAATATTTACTTTAATATATTTGTTTTAAAAAACTTAAATTAAAAGGATTCCATCTAGCCTCCAATTATCAATTAATAATAACAACATAGTAACCAAACCTTTTGATCTTAGGCAGAATAAATGAAGATAAAACTTGCCACTCAACACTCATGCTACAAATATTTATTGAGCACCTATTCTGTGCAAAGCTTTTAGGGATACAGCAGCAGATAAAGAGACATAAATTTTATATTTTAAAGGAGAAGGACAATAATAAATAAATGGAGATAGATATATACATATAGTGTCAATTAGTAATAAGTGCTTTGGAGAAAAATCCCATTGTGAAGAGGGATAGAGATTGCTACCTCTAGGGTTGGGAGAAGTGCAATTTTAGATAGTGCAGTCAGGAAAGATGATATTATGATATTAAGTACAGCCTTGAAGGAGGGGGAAAAGTCAACCTAAGGGAGATCTAGAGAAGGACAGAAGCCTGGGACAACTTGGGACAGATGCTGAGACAGGTAGAGCCTGGAACAGCAGCTGAGATAGGAACTGAGTCAGGAGCCTGGGACAGGAAGAGCCTGAAACAGCGGGGACCTTAGATAGGAGCCTGCGACAGGTGCTTCTGTGTACAAAGTCAAGAGGCTAGCGAGACTAGGGAGGAGGGAACAAGAGGGTGATATATTGCAGATAAAGTCAGACAGAGCAGTAAAGGGGGACATCACAGGCCACTGCCAGGACTTAATTTTGCTGTAAGAGAGATTAGAAGCTATTGGAGGTATTGAAGCAAAGGAGCGTGATCCAATTAAATGATCTGACTTGCTTTAAAAGAATTTCTGGGGTTGGTATGTTGAAATTAAACATAGAAGAACAAGAGTAGAAGCAGGGAGATCAGTTAGAAGGCTACTGCCCTAATCCAGGAGAAACTGGTATCTGCTTGCTCTGGAATAGTAGTAGGATATAGAGAGAAGTGATTGGATTCTGGATGCACTGTGAAAGTACACTTGTGAAACTCATCATCTTTAGGCAAGTGATCTTCCTTGAGGATATACGGAGATAATACAGATAGATATAAATACATACACACACACACACACACACACTCATATACCCACACATACATATATACATAGATCTACAAATAGATATAAAAAATAAATCTAAAATATCCACCTATCGATTTATATAAAATATCTGCCTAGGCAATAGGCAGTAAGGCCTTGTGATACTGTAAATTAACTTACTGTAATTCTCTCTTCACAGGTGAAGTTTATATTCTGTCGAGTAGTAAAAGTATGACCCAGACTCACAATGGAAAACTCTACAAAATTGTAGATCCCAAAAGGTGAGATCTCTTCATATTCCTTTAAGTCAAGTAATGTTTGTCCAAGTTGTTTTACTGTGTTCAAATTGGTGGTGACGAATTGCAATTAGCAGTCAACAAAGATGAACACTTTGGCCATGTGCATATGAGGTCTAGATTTGACTCTGCTGGACCTTAAAGCCTTACTGTGTCCACATATTCATGTCATTCTTGCTGCCATCAGAGAGCAGCATTCTATTTGTGGAATCAGCGTCCTCAGTTACATGCTGGAGAAGGACCCTATGTAGGGCTGTGGCTTTAGCTTTCATGTTGGAAGCAATAAACCCTCGGGTTCTTTCTAGAAAACCTGAACCATACTGGCAGACATTACAGCTGTTCAGTATGATTTTTTTCATCAGGTAATCAAGACAAGCTATTTGGCCGTTCAACATCTGAGCCTCATTTCAAAACTATCTGGCAGCTCACAGCTCTCATGCAGGCCTCTGTGACGAAACAAATGGAAACTGAAGAAATGTCATTTACCCCAGCAAGAGGAACACTTGAAAATTGAATCTTTTAAAAAATATATTTATCCCCCCTGCTCCTTTCCACCCACCCATCAAAACAGCATTATCTTGAATCATAGTTAGTCAGTTGTTAATTTCATGGATAAAGTCAGAACTCTCAGCAGCTGCTAAAATTATATATTATCAAAAAGGTATTAGTCATCAGCTTAGAAATAACTGTTAACAGAACCTAGGGTGTCCTCAGATACCACTCCTGTTGAACACATGGTTGTCAGACTCTCGCTACACCATGCTATGAATTTCAAATTCTCTCTGTACTAACTTATCTTCATGAGCTCATTTGCATATTTAAATTCCCATATTTCAAGTCTCTTTTAGAAGAATACATTCTAATAACCTAAAAAGTTTGCTAAAGGCATGAATTTAGTTACACTTCAAACATATTATTTGTAAGTTATGATGTAGGTTTTTTCCGAAAAATCACAGACTAACAAAATAGAGATTTTCATCCTTTTCCCATACCACAAAACACTGTCTTTCTTGAGAAAAGTGTACGTTGACGTTGGTACTAGAGAACAAAAAGAGGAGTAATCAATTCTAAATGGTCTGTCGGCATATCACATATATTCATCTGTCACGCCCTGGTCATGTTCCTCCTCTATGTAACAATATACATTTTCTTCCACAATAAGAGAAGCACCCATTATGCATTGTAGGAGATTTTTTTCCTCCTTGGGTGTGAAACGAATGCCCTCTTTGTGAAAAGTAAAATAATGAACGAAAAAATATCAGACTCTCTGGTGATGGTTGAAGTTGGCAATATTAAGAACAAAACGCAAAGTAGCAGCATTCTCCTGATTCCTAATGATGTCTAGGGATTTCACTCAGATCTAACGCCCTTCATTTCCTAATAGTCATTATTCCATCATGCTTGTCAAAGTTGATATGCTTTCACAAGCTTCCGGTTAGTCTTATCATGAATTCTTCCTCCTTCTCACAAAATCTTTCTCTCTTCATCTGGATTGTTTAGTCTGCTGGTGGTGAGTTGAGGTGAATTTTACACTTTCCATCCATTATTAGTGTCTAATTACCAGGGTTTCCATAAGGGACCTTGGCTTTGTGATCTTGGGGCCTCCTCTAGTAGGGTGGTCTCAGAGTGACATACCTGAAAGGCCTGACTTCTCATTACGGTGCCTGTTTCTGGTGAGTCCTGTCACATGTGGGGCCCGGGTTAAGATGTGTGTTTGGTTTTCAGAAGGTGGGGGCAGTTACCGAGTCCCAAACACACTGTCCTTGTATACAGGCATAGACATAAATTTCAAAATGAAGCTGACTGTAAGAAAACAAATGTTTTCATAAACATTTGTTGGGAGCCTCATGCTGTTTCAATTTGGATGCCAACGTTTATTATTATAGTATTTCTCCCTAGATGAGTTGAAGTTCTATATAAGCAGACACTTTAGTGTATGTGAACAGGATTATTTTAGAAACACAAGCTAATTACTAGTGTAACAGTGTTCAGAATGTCTGCTTCAGAGCCAAATTGTTTCTCCAAAATTTTGGAGGGAGAATTTGAAGAAAGGGCCTCATCAACTGAAAAAAACATTTCTTGTTACAGACATTTCTTGTTATATCAAAAATCTAACTCAAATTAAAATCTTAGGTTAATTGTATTCTTGTGGAGGAGTCCCCAGACTTGTTAGAATAATGTTTTCAGAATCACTACTTTCAAACAGCACTTGACTCACGGTCCTGGAAGAGAGTAACAATGAATTACAAATTTTTTATGTTTGGGGTGCCTGGGTGGCTTAGTTGGTTAAGTATCAAACTCTTGGTCTCAGCTCAGGTCTTGATCTCAGAGTTGTGAGTTCAAGCCCCGCGTTGGGCTCCATGTTGGGCATTTTTTAATAAAAAAAAAATTATGTTCTATATTACATGTCATAGAGGTTACATTCTTACTCACCATAGGATTTATGTTTTCTGTTTTTCCCTACACACATGCACACACACACTCACATATAAAGAAGACAAGGGAGTTTAAAAACCATCTGCAATATTCTGAAGTCATTTTGGCAAAAGCAGATGAGGTTACAGCATTACCACCTCAGTCTGTAAGGACAGTTTGGTCTAAGGCTATATGTTACATAATCATTTACATAGGTTTAAAATCATTTTACAGTGGGCATCCATCTCAAAAAGGATGGCAAGATAACCTGTTACAAAAATCAAATATCATTATTTATAACTTAAAAAAAATGAAAATTCAATAAGACTACAACCCGGTTTTCCTTAAGTAGAACTCAGGAGTCATTTAAACAAAAAGTAGAGAAGAAGTGAATTTTCCTCCATGTGAGAACATTGAACACACTTCAGGAATGTTTTCAGAGGTGAAACAGTTGCATCTCATCAGAGAGTGGAGTTAGGATCAAGTCAATACCAATCACCCAGCTTGCTGAGTCATCTCACTGGGTCCCCCAAAGTCTCTAGTACAGGGTCCTGCTGGCCCTGGTCAGGGGAGCTCCTTTGGCCAGTAGTTCCAGAAAACAGACTGAATACACTGAGCACAAGAGAGGGGGGCAATAATTTTAGTTTCACTTAGTCGTGCCACCTAAGACTAATCAAGACTAGGAACAAGTCCATCCTGGCAGGACAGGGAGGCAACTGGTCTTGTCTCTGAATCTTCCTTACTGAGGGAGCCTGCATCAAGTTACTTCACCCTACTCTGCCCCTTTGCCCATCAATGGAGTGCACATGATCACTCTGTCCCTTCCTCATTTCTGCGGAGTGCTTTTGAAGATGATTAAATCATACATTTAAAATAGAGTAGATTCTTTAATACTGTTGGTATTCATTCTGTGCATTCAAGAATTATTTTCAGGTGATCGCTCAACTTTTAAGGTTGTCTTTCCAACATTGGGGTAAAGATGTCTGTGGAGCTTTCAAGAGCTCTTGATACATAGTTTCCAAATGTCCAAATCATGCCCTGGATGCTTGCTCTTAATTCAGTCTTTTCAGAATCAAACAAATGTGCCTGCGGGGTGGAAATTAAAGAATTCTAACAGTTACGTACCTTCTAAGCTTTATTTTTGTAGAACACAATTTTTTTCACACCTCTGCCAAAGATTCTTTAATTTTTGCGTCAGATGAGACCAAATGACTTTTTTATTATTTTTTATTTTTATTTTTATTTTTAATATTATTTTTTTATTATTTTGAAATGTTTCCAAATTCTCCAAGAATTTGTAAAACGAAATTATTCTTAATCATTTTGATTTAATTACTATGTACCCAGTCTTACTATATTTTAACATATTGCTGATCTGTTATCCAGCCAAGTCACACAGACCCTTCCCTTAAGAGGTCTATAAATTAACAAAACAAATTCCAGGCTTGGGAGGTCATTTTACAGAAATGTTGTATCCCCAAACTCCTGTGTGACCAGTATCAAAAACTGCTCCTCCCCCCTCCCCGCCCGCCTCCTCCCCACGTCTCCCCTCGATGGCCCTTTTGTTTATTTTTTTCTTAATATCTTCATCCTACTCCTAATTATACTAGATGCTAAAGAGTCGTTTGTTTTTTGGGTTGTTTTTTTATCCCCCCAAAAAACCTCACTTCATAAGAGGAAATTGGTTCTGTTTATCCTTCACATATGTCTCAGGGAGCCAGCAGGCAGCTCTGCCATCCTAAAGAAAGTCACACATAATAGAGAGGCTTTAGCCCAATAAGCCAGTCTAGTCCCAATTCATCAGTCAAAGTTTTATGCAAGTGGGCCCCCTAGGTTGAGAAATCCCCACAGTGCCTGTTGACCCAGCTGCCAAGTCCTCTTGCTGCACAGCCACCCTGACAGAAATACAAACTGTTTAGCAACTCCATTGACCTTTCAGCTATTAACAGAGACACAGACTCCACCAGGGACTAGTTTTCAAACATGACAGAATTTCTTAACACTAGAGGTCATGAACAAGTATATGCCCTATAAAAATCCATTCAGCATGGTGGATTTGAGGTCTAAAAAACAAGGAAGCATGTTCTACGTTTTTGCTATTATTATTTTTTTGCATATCCGATAACTGAAAATGGAGATATTCTTATCTGCCAGCTTATATTTTACTCTTAATGCACTGTATTGTACGTAGTGAGGCATGATACATTGGTGGCTAACAAATCCTTCCTAAGCTGCCCTATAGCATTCGAAATTTTGAAGATATATTACCAAAGAATGGGATAAGATCAAAGTAGAAACTTCTAATGAATGAATGAGCATGCATACATAATGTATGGTAATGACCTAAGTATAACTGGAATTTTAGTCCTACTTTACCAGGATTTGCATATGTATGTATATGCACACACATTTAAACATACTCAGGTCGGGCACACCCTGCTGCGGAGAGCCATCACCCATTTCAAAATAATTAGAAAATATCATATAGCAATTTATGAAAAAAATTTTATCTAAGTGACCATGTCATTTAAGATGTTCGTGTAAAACTATATATATATATATATATCTCT